GGTCGTGGCCTCCTCTGGAAAAATTCTTAGCCATCCAGGTGGCAAGGTGGACAGGTGGGCGATGGTGCAAAGCTGGGTGGTTTTGGTTGGCAGTTGGGCGGGGCGCGCGAGTGCTAAAACAGATTACAGTTCGGGACATGTTTTGATAAGCAGCAATTTAAAACGTGATGCTATTTTGGGCTTACACGACGAGGAAGATCCGCCACAAAATCAATCTTGACTGGCTAACCAAACGGAGACTGCGAAATAAGAAGGTAACCGGAGATTACTGTATTGTTGGAACTGATTATTTTTAACGCAAAATTGATTCTATTCATGTACATGAACTTTTTAAACTAAAGTATATATCGAGAATGCTGCTATAGTTCTTTTTAAAATTTTATATTTAAAGGGCATTATAAACTAAACTTTAAACTGGTAAGAAAAATACAGTATAAATGACAAGCTTTATTTGTTTGTATTTTTTTGTCTTATTGTCCGTTATATTCTACCTTGAATTTAAAATTAACTTTAAAACTTTCTTATATTTTCCATCTTTCCTACTATAGGAAAGGCAATAGAGTCGCAAGATTCCAATAAGAAGAGGTTGGAGTTTTGAAGAGCGCCAAGAGAGCTCCACAATGTACTAGCAATATCTTTTCATTTGAGGAATAAGCGAGAGATGTGGAAGCGGATGTCATGCGAAGCAAAGACAATCAACGTGGGTAATAACTGTCATAAACAAAATTGGTTTTATCCTGCCAACTTTCGATCTTCCAAATTCTTTGAGATGAAAAATTCATATCATGAAATTAAAACCCATTTCCTTACTCTACGGTTTATTACTGAAAGTCGTTTGATTTTCCTTAAAAAGTAATTAATATTTAACACAGAAATATTATATATATTAAATATTTTATATTCAACGGCTCTAAATCATGTCTTCATTTTACTCTACTCAATTTAATCTACCCCTGTTAACAAGGTTTGCAACTCATAAAAACATATTGTGAGTAAAATCCGAAAATAAAGTAATTTTGATTTATTTAACTCTGGCTAAAACACCGCGTGAAGATAAAATACAGACGAAAAGCCATTTCGTTTGCTGTCATCTTTTTTGTGTGCGAGATTTACTATCCTAGAGTCTTGGACAAACCAAAGAGCTCAATCTGAGCCAAGAGCCAAAAGTTTCCATTTCGATTCTCCAGTTTACTCGGCTACCACCCCTGCTATTTCTTTTTTTTTTGGCGGCACGTTCGCACTTTTTGCTGTCGCTTCATTTTGTATCCGCCCCTCCACTCGCTTTTCCTTTACTTTTCCGGCTGTTGTTATAAGAAACTCATTCGTATTGTCAACTTCGTTTTCATCAGCAGACAGCCGGAGAACCTGGAGGGGAGTGCCAGCTAACTGACAGAAGCTTTAAGATAACAATTTTTATAACTACACGGCAGCGTCTCATCCACTTTCCCTGGCGTTTGTTAGGCCTTCAGAGGCACTCAGACAAAAATAAAAAATAAAATATTTCGAAAGGTATTTTTGAAAAAAAGTAACCTTGAGATTTATGAATCTTTATTTAATATATTTTTATGAGTTATAAAATATCAATAACAAATGTTTATAAAAAATACCTATCAGCTATAAGGATTTTAATTAATAACTCTATAACTTTTCCTCTGAGTGTACGATATAAGGTTTCCCAACATTTTCGCACGCCTCTTCGGTTGCCCATTTATTTTTCCTGTTCTTGTTATCGTTGTTATTGTCGCTCGCTTGTCGTGTCCTGTCATAAAAAAAGGAGCTGGAAAAGCTGTAAGTCGAGGTGGAGGAAAAGTTAAGCATCTTGGCGGGCATATGACAGATTGCTTAAATGGTACCCATGTGGGATATTACCCGTGCTCGAAGGTCGCACATCCTAGTTGACATTTCAAAGTTCTCTTTTTTTGTGACGGATTTTTGCGGAAGTTAATTGGTATGTTGTTGTTTCGATTTTGATTTAAATTGAAATAACATTTACTAAATTATCAGCATACTGTTCACTTTCCACTCAATTTATTTTGGGAAATGTTTGCCAAAACGAATTACATACTGATTTTATAGCAATATATTTTGTTCGTTGGCTTTTAGAGTGACTGAGTTTTAGAGTATAAACAATATTTCATTATTCGTTTAATTTTAAACGGTCATCTATTAATTTAAATACATTTTAGATTTATAAATAAATAATAAATTAAATGTTTTAATTACAAATATTCTTTGTTTATTCTGTTTAATTTATGTATAATTTAATCCTGAAGAAATAAAACATTGTTTGTTTATTAGCTAAAATATACTTGTGTTTGATTTTATGGTTTGCTTAACTGGAATTTAAATTTCGAATCATACCCAGGCGCTTATCCTTGGGCCACTGGCAATGTGAATCAGAAATGGCAACAACATTGATTGCAACAAAAGCGACATAGCACAGGACACACGACATCCTCCGAAATGTCCTGCAGCGAAGGGAAATTCGTTGCCATGCTCGTCCAGTGGACGATAAACGGACGCGATTAAATGAGCAAATCGTTTAATTATAAGTCCACTTAATGCCAAGCGTAAAGCCAAAGGCTTTATAGGCGACATTTTCTGGCAAAAGCACGGGGAGCTGGGGAGGCCGGGTATGTGGATTGGCAATTTCGATTGCCTTTAGCCGGATCGGGAATCGTGACGCGACATTTTGACAGTCGCAGGGACCCAAGAACACTCGGCATGGCCGATAGCAACAATATGTCAATGCAATTTGGCAATGATACGGCAGGCTGTGTGAAAAATCGCCTGCCACCCACTCCCACTTCGCCTCGCACTCCACTAGATTTTCCCCAAACTGCCAGCAGTCAAAATTCATTCGACAAGACGACTGCTGCCCTTGGCAGTTCTTTCTGAGAAATCACAATAGGAATGGCAATGGGACTGCAGATCTGTCAGTCCACCCACCTTCGACGATTTCCCATTTAATTACAACAAAACATGCACTCAGAAAATAAAAACGATCGAGAGGAGTACAAAATATGCAATATATGCAAAATTGATATCTTTTTAAATTCGGAAGCTGATAGTATGTTGTTTCTTGTAATTTTCTTAAGAATCAATGAATATTTTTACGAATTAAACTATTATTTATATTTTTTTTCTATGTATAATATTGTAACATTTATTTTCATTTTGTTTAATTCATAAATTATACTCCTTTTATTATGCATTATATTTCCTAATAAGTTTGTTCGTTTTAAACCTAATTAAACTCAAAAATGTTCTTTCAGTGCTACGTAGTTTCATTGGCATGGTCATCTGCAGATCTAGCAGTCCGAAAATAGCATAGTAAGCCCAGGAAAGGTCCGCTGAAAAAGGGATTCCGTACCAGCTTAAATTGCCATCATCGCGCTGAACGCATGTCGGGCTCAGAGCCTTGTCATGAGCCAGGAATCATGACCTCGCAACGTTTTGACTGACAGCCCGTTCTCAAAATGTAAAATCAATGGTCACACCAGCTCAAACATCAAATCCCTCCCTTTAAAAAAAAGACTCCCAGCGATGACACTGACTTGACTGATGTTGCTGGTCCAGTGACTGATTTTTAGGATATTTACTACGTTTTAATTTTTGGGTGGCTTCGCCTTTGACGTCTTGAAATATTATAAATTATATTTTTAAACTATTTTATGATTAATATGTTCTTAATTTTGGCGTATTTTTCTTTTAATAAAAAATTATAATTATTTATTTGAATTTATTTATAGGTAACTACTTTTCCTATCACTCTCTAATCCTATTCTGTCATTCGCTGTTGGATATAAAATCCATTTTGTTTTAGCCAGTTATTTCAAAATGAAATCCTAAAAAACTAAAAAAGCAGAGGAATTGATAACAGCAGTCACCATGTGAAAACCAGTTTATGTTTATTTGAATCCGTGCAGACAGAGTGACACAGACCGTGCGTCCAAATATTTAATTTAAATCAGTGTCACTGGCCACTTGGCGAATCGTGCCAATTGTAAGCTGGTTAAGTAAAAATACAAAACCTGAAAAACTTGCTAAAAATGCAAATGGGACCGAAACATGCTAAAATTAAACTAAAATCACGCTTTAAACTGAAAAATGGTAAAGAATAAAAGCCAGTTTTGGGAAGGAGAAATTAATCAAGAAATTGTAAGGGAAGTGGAAGATAAACAAAGCCCACATGTTATCACCTGAGAAGCGACTCTTATGCGGTTGTTTTTGCTTTCGTTTCATTTGCCTGAAACTACATGGGAGCCACCCAGAGATTCCGGAGGTGGGTGAAGCCGTTTACGTGTTTTCATTTAATTTAAAACATTTTCTTTGCCGAAATTACAAAGTGCATCTAGTGCTGTGCTCAGCCATGAAGGTCCTCTAAATACTCGCCGTACGCTTTAAACGGGGTGTAATAATTAGAAATATGCTGAAATTGGTTGAAATTCAGAGAGAAGAAATTTTTCTAACTTATGTTGTCTTCTGTGTATTAGTTTCTCTACTGTAATTCAGTTTGCTAGTTTGTTATTATACAAAGCAAATTCTTTGATAAGATAAGTAGACACAAAAGTTTAGATTGTGTGATAGCACAGTTTATATAATTATAAAACTATATAATATTCTTTTTATGTGATTTCATAAGACTTTAGTTAAGGACGGTAATCTTCTAAATGGCTGGGGGCAAAAGTTCAAGAAAGATTTTTCTTGTTTCCAGGGAGCTTACCAATTTTTTCAGTGTAGGCAGTAGGTATGAGTCATCGAATGAGGAAAGTTCTAATGCGATAAGAAATCCACTATCAATACGTTTACACTGAAAGTCTCTCGAATATGCTGAAATTAGTGGTGAAATATGTTTTTTTCCACCTATCACTACAAAGCCGACAAGTGCGGCATACTTATCGGAGGCCGACCGAAGGTGTTATCCGAAGTCAACATCTATAGAACTTCAAATATAAGGCGCTGGCCAGTCGGTTCTTTTTTCAGTTTGCGGCTAACGATCAGCCAGAATGGTTAACAAGTCGGGTCGATTTCTGCTGCTGGCAGTAGCCATTGTTGCGATTGTAAATGGCTCACAGGGTGCAAATATTCTGGGTCTCTTCCCCAGTCTGAGTCCCTCGCACTTGATCATCCAAATGTCGGCAGCTAAGGCTCTGGCGGAGAGGGGTCACAATGTGACGGTGGTCACGACTCTGAAGCCCGTGGTGAACCATAAGAATATTAATATGGTCCAAGTGCCCATTAGCAAGGAGGAGGCCCAGCAAATGAGCGACACCATCGGAGCGATGACCAAGAGCGACAACAGCAACATGGCCCTATCGCTGCTCCGAATGATGGGACAGATGGACTTCATGTTCAGAAAGAATGCGGAAACCCTGATGGACGACCGAGTCAAGGAGCTGTACTTGAATAAGGATAACAAATTCGACCTGGTTCTCTCCGGATACTTCATGAACGATTTCCAGCTTGGATTTGCCAGGAAAGTGAACGCTCCTGTCATCGTTTTGGCCACAATGCCACCCAATCAAATGTTGAACCCACTAATCGGAAATCCTCTGGAGGTGGCCTACGTGCCATCAATAAACGATTCCGTGGAAAAGGGCAAGGCTCTGACCTTCCGCCAGCGTTTGACCGGCTACCTTACCAGCACATCCTTTGGCCTATTTCAATACCTCACCGAACGGCGGAATCGGAAATTATTCAAGTAAGTAGACCAGAAAATGTAATTGTTGACACGCGAGAGCTTATATCGATTTTCTATTTACAGGGAAATTTTCGGTGACGATCCTACCATTCCGGAATACTCCGAAATGCTCAAAAACACGTCACTGATATTCTTCGCATCCCACGCAGCCAGTGAGGGACCCATTCGACCCAATGTACCTGGTGCCATAGAAATCGGAGGCATTCAAATTAAGGATAAGCCGGATCCGCTGCCCCGAAATATGGCAGAGTTCCTGGGCAATGCCACTGATGGAGCAATTCTCCTCTCCTTGGGTTCCAATGTGAAGGGAAGCCACCTTAAACCCGACACGGTTGTCAAGATGTTCAACGTCCTCTCGAAACTAAAGCAAAGGGTCATCTGGAAGTGGGAAGATCTGGAGAAGACCCCCGGCAAGTCGGACAACATTCTCTATTCCAAGTGGCTGCCACAGGACGACATCCTGGCCCACCCTAAAATCAAGCTGTTCATCAATCACGCCGGCAAAGGAGGAATAACTGAGGCCCAGTATCATGGAAAGCCGATGCTTTCGTTGCCCGTGTTTGCCGATCAACCCGGAAATGCTGAAGCTATGGTCAAAAAGGGTTTTGGCCTCACCTTGAGCCTGCTTACCCTGGAGGAGCAGCCTTTCCAAGAGGCCATCCTAGAGATCTTGTCAAATCCGCAGTATGCCCAAAAGGTGGCCTCATTCTCCTCCCTCTACCGCGATCGCCCAATGACCGCTAGGGAGTCGGTGATCTACTGGACGGAGTACGTCATCCGGCATCATGGAGCTGCCCATCTACAGAGTCCTTTGGTCCACATGAACTTCATAGCCGCCAATAACATCGATCTCTACGCTTTATTCGCCGGAATACTAGTAATTCTTGTATTGATTTTGAGGGCTCTAGTGAAAATTATTCACAGAAGGTTCTTTTCAAAGTCAAAGAAGGAGAAAACGCACTGAAAGTATTTGATAAGCTTGCGATACCACAGTCAACTAACAAAAATACTCTGTCACTATGACATTAAAATAGTTTAGTACTGTCAAAAATTAAACATAATAAATATACAAATTTACTAAAACATTTCTTATATATTTTATTTTTAATTTGGTTCGAGGAAGCAATGGGGAACGCAAAGAAAATAAAACACAACAATAATTAAATTTATTTTATTATAATCATCGCTAACCTTTGTGGCATACGACTAAAAACGTAACTGGGACCTATAAGATCCTAGACTATAATAAAAAGTTATTGGATCTAAACTTAAAATCTTGTGTTAAATTTAATGAAATAACTTTTAATACTTTTTAAGGACTTTGAGATTTGATATTTAATCACTGAAGATAAACTATAAAACCATCTTATCCACACTTTAAATGATTTAAACTTTTAAAGTAATTAACTATTGTCATTTCAATTGGAAAGGTTGTATATCGTCAATTTCTTTCAATAAAATTATATTATTTATTATTCATACATTTATATATGAATCAAACAAAATAATGGACTTTAACAAAATGTTTGAATAGATTACAGTCCTTTTGCGAGACTCATATCGCACGAATCTATAATATTGATTAGATAAGTAGGATTATCATAACGTTTGGCCCGATAACGCATCCACTATCAATGCGTGTGTTCTTAAACGTTTTAAGTAGTAGGTAATAGATGAAATTGTTTGTGAAATAGATTATTTTACGGCAGCCTAGCACAACAAAGCGAAAAATGCTACCTACTTATCGGTCGTAAACTGTGTGGTCATCCGAAGTCAGCGGGAACACAGTATCATATATATAAGGTACTACCAGCGAGTTCAGTTTATCAGTCTACTGTTAACGATCCACCGAAATGGTTCAGAAGCCGGTTCGATTTTTGCTGCTGGCAATAGCCATCGCTGCTTTTATGGGTGGCTCCCAGGGTGCAAATATTCTGGGCCTCTTCCCCAGTCTGAGTCCCTCGCACGTCATCATCCAAATGTCGGCGGCCAAGGTTCTGGCGGAGAAGGGACACAATGTGACTGTGGTCACGGTCCTAAAACCAGTGGTTACCCACAACAACATAAAAGTGATCCAGGTACCGCTTACCAAAGAGGAGTCCCAGCTGATGAGCGACACCATTGGCGAGATGTCCAAAAGCGACAATAGCAACATGATACTGTCCCTGATCCGAATGTCGGGACAAATGGACTTTATGTACAACAAGATGGCAGCAGCCCTTAAGGACGATCGTGTGCGTCAACTGTATCTGAATAAGGACAATAAATTCGACCTGGTTTTCTCCGGATACTTCATGAACGATTTCCAGCTGGGATTCGCCAAGAAGGTTAACGCGCCTGTCATCGTCGTCGCCTCAATGCCACCCAATCAAATGTTAAACCCCCTGATCGGAAATCCTCTGGAAGTTGCCTATGTACCTTCGATGAATGATTCCGTGGAGAAGGGCAAAGCCATGTCCTTCCGGCAGCGTTTGACTGGCTATCTAACTAGCACCTTCTTCGAACTGTTTAATTACCTATGCGAAAGGCGTAATATAAATTTGTACAAGTAAGTTAAACACGGTTTTTACTTTGATATTAAAGCGATTTTACTTACATTTTTTCTCTTTACAGGGATATTTTCGGTAACGATCCCACGCTGCCAGAGTACTCGGAATTGCTCAAGAACACCTCGTTGGTATTCTTTGCATCCCACGCGCTGAGCGAAGGGCCCATTCGACCCAATGTCCCGGCTGCAATAGAGATCGGAGGTATTCAGGTTAAAGACACTCCTGATCCTCTGCCCCAAAATATGGCAGAGTTCTTGGGAAATGCCACAGATGGTGCGATTCTCCTCTCTCTGGGATCCAATGTTAAGGGAAGCCACCTTAAACCCGACACGGTTGTCAAGATGTTTAATGTTCTCTCGAAACTGAAGCAAAGGGTCATCTGGAAGTGGGAAGATCTGGAGAAGACCCCCGGAAAGTCGGACAACATACTGTATTCCAAGTGGCTGCCACAGGACGACATCCTGGCCCACCCTAAAATCAAGCTTTTTATTAATCACGCTGGAAAAGGTGGAATTACTGAGGCCCAGTATCATGGAAAGCCGATGCTTTCGTTGCCCGTATTCGGAGATCAGCCCGGGAATGCTGACGCCATGGTCGAAAAGGGCTTTGGTCTGACTCTGAGCCTTCTTACTCTCGAGGAGCAGCCTTTCCAAGAGGCCATCCTAGAGATCTTGTCGAATCCGCAGTATGCCCAGAAGGTGGCCTCGTTCTCCTCCCTCTACCGCGATCGCCCAATGACCGCTAGGGAGTCGGTGATCTACTGGTCGGAGTATGTCATCCGTCACCATGGAGCTGCCCATCTTCAGAGTCCTTTGGTCCACATGAACTTCATAGCCGCCAATAACATCGATATCTATATCTTTTTCGTAGTTATCCTACTTACACTTGTATTGCTTCTAAAGCTTCTGGTGCAATTCATTTACAGAAAGCTCGTATCAAAGCCAAAGAAGGAGAAAAAACACTAAATATTTTAAATATGCTTGCCATAAACTTTAGCAAGCGTCTATGAAAAATACTCGTCACTACGACATTAAAATAGCGATAAAAAAATAAATATACTTAAAATATTAACTTTTCTATTTCGTATTGATATTGGGAGTGATGGATATGGTGGATTTTATTTTAAAATTTTTGTACATCTAATTAGATGTGATGACAGGAAATGTTAAAGAACATAATATTATTGTCCAAACATTAAGTATTATGCAATTTCTTTCTATTCAATTGTGCAATCGATTGCCTTTCAAATCTAAAAATTTGGTAGATAAAAGAAAATGTAAACAAATTGTCACTCGTCCTGATAACGTCAAACTATCGCGTTTGTTGATTAGGCTTATCAAGTGTTTTTGGTACATTATAACACTACCCTCCCTAAACAAAGCGGACTGGTTGAGCTAATGAAGGTTTCGGCCATTATCTTAAGATTGTTTTCCGAGGATTCCCACGGTTATTTGTAGAACTGGGTTAGTCATCATGTAGAAGTAATTGCTATATTTCTCTACACTCGCTTACATTTGCCCCAATCAAATCTGATTTCATGTTTCCATTTTATTTTCATAAATTTTTTATCTATGTATTTTTATTTTAATTTATGGCTATTAGAGTTTTTTAAAAAATTGGCTATATTATTAAAATTCTTAAAACATTTTAGTGCAATTTTTCCTTCTTTGACTTTGATGTGATTTTTCGGTAAATAACTTTACCTAGTGCCCTAAAAATCAGTATTATCGTAACTAGTACCACAGCAAACAACGCGTAAATGTCGATGTTATTGGCTGCTATGAAGTTCATGTGGACCAAAGGACTCTGAAGATGGGCAGCTCCATGATGCCGGATGACGTACTCCGTCCAGTAGATCAGCGACTCCCTAGCGGTCATTGGGCGATCGCGGTAGAGGGAGGAGAACGAGGCCACCTTCTGGGCATACTGTGGATTCGACAATATTTCTTGGATGGCTTCTTGGAAAGGCTGCTCCTCCAGAGTGAGAAGACTCAGAGTCAGGCCAAAACCATTTCTGACCATGTCCTCCGCATTGCCGGGCTGATCTCCAAACACGGGCAACGAAAGCATGGGCTTTCCGTGATACTGGGCCTCAGTTATTCCACCTTTGCCCGCGTGATTGATAAACATTTTAATATTTTTGTGGGCCAGGATGTCGTCCTGAGGCAGCCACTTGGAGAAGAGAATGTTGTCCGACTTGCCGGGGGTCTTCTCCAGATCCTCCCACTTCCAGATGACCCTTTGTTTCAGTTTCGAAAGGACGTTGAACATCTTGACAACCGTGTCTGGTTTAATGTGGCTCCCCTGAACATTTGAGCCCAGAGTCAGGAGAATGGCTCCATCAGTGCCGTTGCCCAGGAAGTCCGCAATATTTTGGGGCAAGGGATCCGGCTGGTCTTTAATTTGAATTCCGCCGATTTCTATGGCAGCAGGAACATTGGGTCTAATGGGTCCTTCGCTGGCCGCGTGGGATGCAAAGAATACCAACGAAGTGTTTTTAAGCATTTCTGAGTACTCCGGCATTGTGGGGTCGTTACCGAAAACCTCCCTAAAAAAATAGAAAACGCATATAAGCATTTGTACTGAATATTTGGAGTCACGTCTCTACTTACTTGTATAAATTCCTGTTACGTCTTTCGGAGAGATATGTAAAAATACCAAAGGCGGAGCTTGTAATGTAGCTGCCCAATCGCTGGGTGAAGGTGGCACCTTTTCCCTGCTCCACGTCGTTGCTTCCCGCATAGGCGATCTCCAGTGGATTACCAATCAGTGGGTTCACCATTTGATTCGGCGGCATTGTAGCCAAGACGATGACAGGAGCGTTCACTTTCTTTGCGAACCCAAGTTGGAAATCGTTCATGAAGAATCCAGAGAGAACCAGGTCGAATCTGTTGTCTTTATTCAAGTACAGATCCTTCACTCGTTCGTCCATCAGGGTCTCCGCATTCTTCTGGAACATGAAGTCCATCTGTCCCATCATTCGGATCAGGGATACAGCCATGTTGCTGTTGTCGTTCTTGGTCATCGCCCCAATGGTGTCGCTCATTTGCTGGGACTCCTCCTTGGTAAGAGGCACCTGGATCACTTTTATGTTCTTGTGGTTAACCACTGGCTTTAGTACCGTGACCACAGTCACATTGTGTCCACTCTCCGCCAGAACCTTAGCTGCGGACATTTGGAGGATCAAGTGCGAAGGACTTAGGCTCGGGAAGAGACCCAGAATATTGGCTCCTTGGGAGCCACCCATGAAAGCAGCGACGGCTACTGCCAGCAGCAAAATCTGACTCGAATTGTGAACCATGTTTGTGGATCGCCAAAGGCAGACTGATAAAGTGCATTCACTGGCAGTGCCTTATATTCAAGATTATATAGAAGCTGACTTCGGATGACGCCTCAGTTTGCTACCGATAAGCCGGTAGCATTTTTCGTGATTGTTGTGCTAGGTTGCTCCAAACAAAACCATTTCACCACCGATTTCTGCTATTTCGTGAAAGGTTTTTTTATAGAATCATTGATTGTGGACTCCTTATCGCGCTAAACACTATGTTAATTATTGGCTTTCAGAAACGGAAAATACTATCTACTAGTCTAATCATCGTATTTTTCGGGAGATAACAGTATCGCCAATTTAAAAAAAAACAAGAAATAATTCACGGCTCCGGTTTTTTATTTTCCCCAAATGTGAAATGTTTGTAAATGGTAACTGAACAGTTTTGATCAGGATCATCAGCAAACCAATCTAGCCATGAATAAAAAAACTGAGTGGTTAATTTTTTTTTTATTTATTTATTTATTTTATTTTCAATTGTTTTATACGTTTTCTATATCATAGTGGCAAACAGTTTAATAAGCTGTTATAACTATTTCATTCATTTTTTTCCTTCTTTGACTTCGAAATTAGCCTTCTATAAATAAATTGAATCAGCAACCTAAGAATAACTATAATACTGACTAGTATAACGAAGAATAGGATGTAGATGTCGATATTATTGGCGGCTATGAAGTTCATGTGGACCAAAGGACACTGAAGATGGGCAGCTCCATGGTGCCGGATGACGTACTCCGTCCAGTAGACGAACGATTCTTTGGCGGTCATTGGACGATCGCGGTAAAGCGAGGAGAACGCGGCCACCTTTTGGGCATACTGCGGATTCGACAATATCTCTAGGATGGCCTCTTGGAATGGCTGCTCCTCCAATGTGAGCAGGCTTAGAGTAAGGCCAAAACCCTTTTTGACCATACTGTTGGCGTTACGGGGCTGGTCTGCAAACACGGGCAAAGAAAGCATGGGTTTTCCGTGATACTGGGCCTCAGTTATTCCACCTTTTCCAGCGTGATTAATAAAAAGTTTGATTTTAGGGTGGGCCAGGATGTCGTCCTGTGGAAGCCACTTGGAGTAGAGAATGTTGTCCGACTTTCCGGGGGTCTTTTCCAGATCCTCCCACTTCCATATGACCTTTTGCTTGAGTTTCGAGAGAACGTTGAACATCTTAACAACGGTGTCTGGTTTAAGGTGGCTTCCCTGAACATTGGAACCCAGAGAGAGGAGAATCGCACCATCAGTAGCATTTCCCAGGAACTCCGCCATATTTTGGGGCAGCGGATCCGGCTTGTCCTTAATTTGAATACCTCCGATTTCTATGGCACCAGGGACATTGGGTCGAATGGGTCCCTCACTGGCTGCGTAGGAGCTGAAGAAAACCAGTGACGTGTTCTTGAGTAACTCGGAATACTCAGGCAAGGTGGGATCGTCACCGAAAACTTCCCTGGAAAAATAAAAAGCATCTAAGTAGATATCTTGAGTAGTGCAAGTCTGGGATCAGCTTTCTAATTACCTGTACCAATAACGATTACGCCTCTCGGAGAGTTGACCAAAGATCCCGAAACCGAGGCTCGTAATGTAACTAATCAAGCGCTGTCGGAAGGTAACACTCTTACCTCCAACCTCCCCTGAGTCGTTGATTCCGGCGTAGGAGATCTCCATAGGATTACCGATGAGGGGATTCAACAGTTGGTTAGGAGGCATTGTGGCAAAGACAATGACAGGGGCCTGCACTTTCTTGGCGAAGCCAATCTGGAACTCGTTCATGAAGTACCCAGAGAGAACCAGATCGAATTTATTGCCGTTATTCAAGTACAGATCCTTCACTCGATCGTCCATCAGGGTTTCGGCATTCTTTCTGACCATGAAGTCCATCTGATCCGACATTCGAAGCAGAGATAGGGCCATGTTGCTATTGTCGTTCCTGGACATCTTTCCAACGGTGTCGCTCATCATCTGGGACTCTTCCTTGGTTAGTGGCACCTGGATCACAGTTATATTTTTATGATTTACTACGGGTTTGAGTGCCGTGACCACTGTAACATTGTGACCTCTCTCCGCCAGAACTTTAGCCGCCGACATTTGGATGATCAAGTGCGAGGGACTCAGACTGGGGAAGAGACCCAGAATATTTGCACCCTGAGAGCCACTTGTAGTAGTGACAATGGCTATCGCTAGCAGCAATAATCGTTTCAGATTGTGAACCATTTCGGTGGATCGTTAAAAGTAGACTGGCAAAGTGGACTGTCTGGCAGTGCGTTGTTCTTTAAATTATAAAGACTTCGGATGACACTGATAAGAAATTTCAACAAAACGAATTTCTTGAACCTCTTTAGTACAAACGTATGAGTAATGCTGGGTCTTATCGCTGTGAGCATTTTGTTTATATCTCGTTATCATAAAGTTGAGGAAATCCCGACGTATCTTGTCTTTATATATATTTTTGGGGTGATAGCAGTCTGGCAAAATTTATGCAATTTTTTAATCAATTAAACGCACAAATTTCGCAATTATGAGTAATCGTTTGTACTTTCTCTTAAAATCTTATATAAATAAAATATTTACCTTCTTATAGAATTTTTTTAATTCCGTATGGAAAAGATCGAACTGAAATCAGTCTTGATGGAATGACTTTTATCTTTTCTCATCCTAAAATACCATTCTGTACCTTTTGTACGTGTTCTGGCAGAGCCTGCGGTCAAAAGTGTGTACTTTTTTGTCGAAATTCGGTGGAAAAACATTTAAGTGGGGAAAAGAAAACGAAGGAAGCGGGCAAGTAAAATAAAAACGAAGCATAACCATGGTGACACTTTGTGGCACACGACTTGGAAAACGGAACCCACACCTGAACGGAAAACCCCGGATGAGGCAATTTACAGTTACGCGGCCACGTGACTTACTAAATCAACTTGGACTGTCGCTCGTTTTGCGGCATCCGAAAAATACAGGACTAAGAAGTGAAAATAAAAAAACACCTCAAATCCAATTCCCGCCCAGGGTGATGTCGCCGGAAATGTCGGGCTGACAAATCGCGTGCAAAAATCTGTGAAATCTTCGTTTGTTGCCATCTCTATCTGTGTATTCCGGAGCAGAAGTCCTTGTGCACTCAGAAAATTACTTTCCTTACGATCTTTATTTTCTAACTTTTTTTAATTGTGAATCTTTTTAATAGTCTTTAAAATTTTGTGAGCTACATAGCAATACCTCTATTTGATTACTTGTAATTTAAAATGTATTTTGAGTTACCATTTTTGTCTTTGGCTCTTCGATTTTAAAAATCAAGAAAAGTTGAAGTTTTTTCGGCTTAAATGTTGTTTTTTAAATGAAGTAAAATAAATAAGCACAGAATAATATTCAAAATATTAATATAAATAATGATATATTTTAGCTGTAATCCATTTGTATAATACTTTTTTTCAGAATTCTTGACAAAAATATACAAAGAATTAATTAAATTAGTTATAATTTAGTAAGAAGAACGACAAAATATTTTTTGAGTGCATATTGTCGAGCAACTGCTTCGGGTTTTCCTTTCCATGAGCAGGGTTTTTGCTTTGGCGTCTCGTCCTGGACTCAAAAAATCCCTCGGAGCTCCGGCGGCGCCTCTTTGGCAATTTGTTGGGTTTTCTTATTTTTTTTTGTTGCCTGCTGTTGTTTTTGCTTTTGCTGTTGTTGTTTTATCCCATCCCACTGGCCGTGGTAAATTTTTTGATTAATCAAAGGACATTTTTTTGTGCAGTGCCCGTGTCTCTTGGCTGTTGGTTTGTCGGTTTGGCCCTAAAAGGAGGCAGAATTAATGCAAAAATGATGAGTGGAAATTTGTCAAGCTTATTTACTTCCGTCATTTAATGTGCCCGCGGCAAATCGAGGGATGAGGAGGTGGTGGCGGGAGGGGAGGAGCGGGGGTCACAGCCGTATCCGGATCCGGAGCTGGAACTCAAGTTGGAGCCCAAACCAACAGACGGCGGAACTTATCTTTGTTTGCTCCAATTTTTTTTTGGTTATTTTGGCTACGGGGCCTAAGGCAATTTTATGCATAATTTTCGGTCAATGCCTGACAGTTTTTGTTCTTGTTATTTTTGCTACTGATTTTTTTTATTTCGCTGTCATTTTTACCTGCGGCGGCCATTGGCCATTGCATATTTTAGCCCGGATTTGCCCTAATGCGTTGAATATTTTTCACTGCCCTGTAAAGTGTTTGGTTTTATATTTATTTTCTGGGGGATGCTAAATCGAATTTTCCGTTGTTGTCATTTTCCCTTCATTTTGGCTGCGCCTTTGTTTGTTTGTATCTGTTTGCCATAAGTTAGGTAAACGACTTCAGGAAAGGAAATGGGGGCATAAGCGGTTTTTTCCTTAGGAGTCCTTATTGGGTTTCCGGAATTCAGATTAGGTTCGGCATGCGAGTTGAGATTTTTTGTCCCATTCATGAGTAGATTTCTGGGAAAGAAGGTTCACTTTAAAGATTAAGCAACACTAATTTATCAAGTTGACAAAACCTCTAAACGTAAATGCTTGTGAAAATTAATCGAGATCAGAGTTTAGTATTTTTTTAACAAAGTTAGCTTTTCCTTTTTCAATATAAGTTGTTTTTGATCGTAAAAATTTTCAGTGATTTCTATAATTTAAAATGCACGGTTGTTCCATATGTTGTGAGTTCTTTTACATTGGGATACTTTTCTTAATGGAGATTATTTACCTTCGAAGGGATGTGTGGCAGCCGATGAGCTGCCAGGATCCAGACCCCAGTTCGGTGATTTTTATAACTGCCATGCACACTTATATTCTTGAAGTTGGACCACTTGGCAGGATCAGAAAACAGCGTAGAATCGCAGTGAGAAATTTCATAGGATTTACAATCCTCCACGTAGTTTTGGTTTATCTCATGCTGACGCTGCTTTGGGACACATCCGGCTGTCTGATACAAGGGATATTAGCCTATACAGAAACTTCTAATTTACCTCGATATTTGCATCTGTTTCGTCTTTCCATGGCGTTGACCTTCCTGTGGTGGACTTTTTATAAAAAACGTAAAAACTTCCGTAGAGAAAAAGGACTGGAGATAAATAAGGATAAAGATTATATCGACTTCCGTTCCGTGTGGGATACCTTTCCATCTGAGATCCACTTAGGTAGCTTAGGTCTACGCTACAGGGAACTCTTTCCAAGGCCCAGAGAACCCCCATATAATGCTGTTGCCAGGGGTGTCCATGGCTCCAATAAATATATATGAATCGATTTATTTTGTAATGTTCCAAAAGAAAAAGTATGTTTAACAGTAACCCATAAATTAAATATCTGCAATGAAATTCGCAAAAATATTATTAACAATTGTAACCTACCTTTGCTTACATTTTATTTTACTTAAAAAAATCATTTGAGCTTAGTTTGGACACTTAGTCTTTTTTGTTTGTATTTATTTATTTCCCATACATCTTTTAATACAATTAACAATTCACATACAATAATTAAGTTTACTTGCCATTGATTGTGTGTGTTCCTTTTTCTGTGCTCAAATATTCATGTGTAAATTTGTTGATATTCGAATTTACCTTCTCTATTGAAATTATTCTGACATATATTCGTATTTGGTAGCAAATTTTACGTTTAGATACCTATATATTAATTTAAGTTTCATAGTTTTCATCCTGTGTTGATTTTCTCGGCTTCGCATTTCCGATGGCTGCTTGTTCACACATAAATAAATGTTGCATTACACTTATGTAGGAAATGGCTGGGCTTCCTGCTCGGACCTAGACTAATTCGATTTCGACTATATACAAATTCAACTGTTGCTGCCTTGGCTTGTTAACTTTTCACTTGGCTCGAAATGGTGCGAATCACCCAATTTATTTGGCGCCCGTTTCCGTCTCATTTTTTTTATCTAGTTTAGAGTGTGTGCTCCTTGAGACAAATCCTGAAAACTTAGGCTACAAATAGAGCTCCCGTCAATGCTAGCCACTAACTCTGGGAGTGCCAGCGCAGAATGTGGACAAGGCTCAGAAGCCAGGCGGCCAAAGAGGCTGAAAAACGCAATATATAATGATATCGTATAGTATGTAAAGTTTATAAAGAAATTATTAATTTCAATATATTTTTAAATATATATTTTAAATGATATGATAAAAAATGAAACCGGAATAATGCAAATAATCATATAAAATAATAGATAGATACCTTACTTACAACTTTATAATTTTTCAAACGTAAAATACAATTTATTTGCTATTTTATAGTGCCACTTTGTATTGAAATTAATTTTGTTTATATTTTTATTTAAACTCACCTGGTTGGCCGGTTATACAGGATCCGTTCTCGGTGAGTCGCTGCTTGGTTCCGGCGTCCTTGAGCGCCAGGATGGTGGTCCGCACCCGGCTCTCCCTCTTCACCGCCGCCAGTCCCATGATGTCCGCCGTGCACCGGAGCTCCAGCATCTCGCTCTTGCTGATGAACCGCTGGTCGTCCAGGTGGAGGCGCAACTGCAGGTGGCTGGCGAACAGGTGAAAGCCTTCCACGCTGCGTGTGACTTCGTTGATTTGCGGCTGCAAACTGTGCCCAGGTGCCTGTGGCCGGAAGCAAACGGAAACGGAAATGGAAATGTAAAGCGCTGGGTTTAAAAGCCGAATTGTGAGCCACATGCGGGCGTGACTTTCAGCCGGTCTCCTGTCCCAGTTCTCTGTCAACATTTGTGGGGGCCAGTCGAAAAACGAAATTATAAATTTGTTTTCAGAGGTAGAGAAAAGTCATTATTCATGTAAATTCGTAGATGCCCAAAAGCTAAGCGCAGGGTATAGCTGAAGAGCATCGAGCATCGTCTAGCTGAACCGCTCGCACAACTAGCGCACCGGCATAGCGCTCTCTCTATCGCGCGCACCATAGAAAAACGTGTGAAGGCAGAAACGCAAACGGAATCTGGAACGATCCCGTTACGTGAAGTTTGGCAACGCCGCCGCGTACAGCCAGCTTCACGCGACGAAAGTCTCGTTCACTTCTTTTCAAACTCTGAATGAGTACAGACATACGACTATCGTAAATTCAAAACTAAGAACGGAAAAATATACACCACGTGTTCTAGTTTTCCTTTGAACTTGTGAAGTGATTTATTGAGAGAGGATCATTGTTGTTTTAAAGCCCCAACTACTGGTAAATATTAGCACCCAGCTTAACCGTATAGGCAGTGTAAATAGAAAAGTGTATTTTCGTAATAGGAAAAAGGAAGGAGATTTCGTCGAAGCCGCCCGGCTACATCAGCGCCAGCTCGGCGTGATCACGCCGTTTGTAATTTCATCGGCCAAGACGAGATTTTCTGAGAGATTTTGGAGCCAATTTGCCACGGCGGAGTTGCCACCTGCGGACACGTGTCTCGCGGAGCGCAGCTTTGGTCAGCGAAAGGCGCCCGTATTCTGGAAGGTGACCGAGGCTGCAGTTTGCCCACCAACTACGCAAATCTGTAGCTCGGCTCCTCACCAACCGCATGCCACGTGCGGCCTAAAATCATCTCAAAGATCAACCACCTGAATGACGACTTGAAGAAGTGCATAACCTCACCAGCACGCGCCACGCGCGGCATCCACCTATCCAGCTCTGGCGAAGCCATAGAGCGACAACGTGGAAGGTTATTGTACCAGGACTTAACACCACTCCAACCATTGATGATCACCTCACCAACCCGCGCCACGCGCGGCATGTAAGCACGCAGCTCTGGTTTGACCATCGAGCGATCTTCTGGAAGGTGATCGGATGAGGAAGTGAGCGACTACCGGATGTGACACCTGCTACGCGCCTACATCGCCCCACCAACACGCGCCACGCGCGGCAACGAAGCACCCAGCTCTGGCTAGCCCATAGAGCCGATATTTTGGAAGGCGAGTCGTAGCGCAGCAACTCGGCACTTCACCCGTACTGGCCACGTGCGGCTTGCCGATGGAATAAGCCTCGCAAAAGGCTGATGATTTAAAGGAAGGACAACCCAGAGGAACAGACCTGTTGTCTGACATGCGAAGACGCAGATCCCTTCGTGTGTAGTAAGCTGATCAGGAACCGCACAGGAGAAGCAGTAGTAGATCGAGGATGGGAATCACTCTCTGCGACGTTTGCTAGATTAGTGTTTGCCTATTTTAAAGTCAAGCTTCACGTTTTTGTAGAGTAAATTTGCGGTACTTGCTTACGTAGCGTACCTTTGTATTGATTCAGTAGAAATTCTCATTAGTCTTCTGACAATGACCACCCGTGTAAGCCACGCAATTAATCTCGTCAGAAATTAATATGTAAATTTGTCTAAAAGCACCCTAGCACAGCGTCTTCGATGGGCCCAACGAACCTGCATCGCCGGAGTTTTTGCGTAAGTGAGATCTTTAAACCACTATATTGATTTCCTGACTTTTACCGATATATTTGAATGGTATTATTATTGTGTGTGCATATTAGACGGAAGGTTATGAAGTCAGTGTAGCAATTATCTGTAATTCGGAATTGAGTTTGGTATTGAAAAGAGAGAATTGAAGTTGTATTGAAATTATGATTGAATTTAATGATCTTTTGTTAATTATGGTAAATATTTCAACTATGTTTGAATAGTTTTGTAAATCTAGGTTCGTGATTGAACACACAATGCTGGAGCTATATGAATTGAAAATGTAATGAACCAATAAACATTGAATAAGGGATAACCGTCAACAATATCTCACGCGTTATCATGGTAGGGAGGGTACAGAAAGGGGGCGAATAACATCAAGCCACCCTAACTTCCAGTATTTCGTGATCTGCGTTTGCCTACAATGTCCGTCCGTGTACCCATAGTCCGTGTACACCCATTCATTTTTGTTGAGCCTTGTAGATACCGTTTAGTGCACTTAAAACTTTTTCACGTAGTACAGCACGCGTTATGGAAAAGACGAGGAAGACCCACGACAATCCGACGAGCTTAGCACAGAGCAATGCTAGAAGTGCACGAAACCGAATCTTTCTATACACTAGGTTTCCCATAACTTAGTGAGCGTAGGTCTAGAACCAAGAGGCAACCCGAGGCTCCAGACCGTTGCTGCCGGCTACATCTTATATTAATTTTAGTAACAGCATCCGAGTGTGTATGCCAATCCTTCACTTTCGTGGTGCTGTCTACTACATATAAGAAAGAAAAATGGCGCCCAACGTGGGGCAGAATCTCCACTAACGTGGGGCAGAATCTCCACCAACGTGGGGCCAAACCTTAGTTTACGTCCATAGGAACCGAAACCGCCTAGAAATCGGTTGATTTCTAAGTGCAGGCTACTAGGAGGAGGTATAGCTTCACGTATTGCTTTATTAGTTTTCAAATAGATTTGTGTTAGAGTCTGCTGACGTTTATTTTCTTTCCCTCAGTTTAAGTAATGATCACTTGTAATTCGAAGCCGGAACAGCGACCGCGATTCGAGAATCTACGGATTGGGTCGACCATTCAGTTCAAGGGACCATGTAAGCTTGTAGAGTTAGGAAGTAAACACAATTAGAAAATATTTGTAGATTTGGATGACGGTAAATCAGGTGTCTAGGAATCGCGATTGTATTTCGAGCTTTGTACGGAATAATCGACCGGAACCAACAGTTTACTTGATATCTCAATTCTACGGAATTTCGGTAAACTTGTTTTTAGATTACGACCATCTGTCCAACGGAACTGCAAAGTGTTGGAGGAAATTCGATCTTTGACCGGTTCAGAAAGCGTAATTCAAAAGAACAAGCCTTCAAAACATTTTTTTTTGTTATTTTTAGTTTACTTTGGCAAGCAATCAAGAAACATTAGGAAGTTGAATTCATATAGCGAGCAAGCATTGTAGTAATATCAATCACGGACCAATTAAATTCGTAAATAACAAACACAAAGCATTTAGTATTTTGTCGATATGTCATTGCGTCACAGCAATCTTGATCTACCAGCCGCAGTAGGCGGCGAGATTACATCATGTACGATTTGTACACAACCATTGATCGCAAACGATTTAACATCCTCCACCCCATGCGGTCATACATTCCATCATCAGTGCATCAGGGATTACATACTTGATTCAAATAGATGCCCAGTGTGCAATCGGGAGTGCACCGTACAACAATTATCTTTGTCAAACAACAACTTGTTAGCGGAATTGTCAGCTGCTGATCGAAGGACAGGAGAAGCTAATCCTGCCAACAACGACTTACCGGCCAGCAGTAACGCAAATAATAACGCCAACAGAGGCCGAGGAAGCGGGAGAAGAGGTAGAAATTCAGGTCAACGCAGAGGCGCTGGACAACGTACAGGAATGACACTGAGGTCGAATCGCAATAATCCAGAGGATCATCACGAACGTAGTCTGGACACAGATTCGATTGTAGACACTTCTAGGGCAGAGAATCTAGAAGATATTGAGAGAGTAGTGCGAACAACCATGCAAGCACAACAAAGTAGCCTTAGGCAAGAACTTTCTGATTTTATTCGTGCGCAGGTAGCAAGCCTACAGATTGGTAGTTCTGCTCAAACTCCAAATAGGAGAATGAACGAAAGGCAAGATCAGTCAGGGGAAGCTCAGTCTGCAGGAACAGTTTATCACGATATTCGCCTAAATGCTCAGCGCGTCAACAGATCAGATTCCACAGTGCAGCCAGAAAAAGTGCCGAACATTATTCAAAGCTGGCACATCAAGTTTGATGGATCCAAAGACGGTTTACAGTCTGAGGAGTTCCTTTATCGAGTACAGGCATTAGCTCAACAGAATTTAAATGGAGATCGTCAGCTTCTATGCGACCATTTGCATTTATTTTTCGTTGGCAAAGCGAGCGAATGGTACTGGAAGTTCCATCGTTCGTGCCATCAGTTTAGTTGGATAGAGTTTTGTAGAGAGTTTCGTAACAAGTTCAAGGAAAGTGAGTCTGACATGGACATTTGGGAGTCCATAAACAACAGGCGGCAAGCCGAAAAAGAACCTTTTGAGGATTACCAATTCCAAGTGGAAAAGCTCGCATCTCGCTTGAACACTCCGATCTCAGAAGAATCGTTAGTTAGGCTTCTCATACGGCATTCAAAGCCATCTCTACGGTACGAACTTATGCATTTGCATATAGACACCTTAGCTCAGCTCAGGGAAGAAGTCCGAACTCACGAACAGTTTTGCAGGCAAATGAAAGCGCAACCGATGAAGGGTAGTTTTCATCAACGCTCTTTCGTTTCTCAGTTAGAAGAAGATTTTGACGACAGCGAATCAGCTGAAGTAGCGGCACTACAACGCAAGCAACTTAAGTGTTGGAACTGCGACAAGCTTGGTCATCGTTTTGACGAGTGTTTCGAAGCTCGAACCATCTTTTGCTACGGATGTGGAGCGAAAAATATGTACAAGCCCAAATGCCAAAAGTGCAACCCTTCGGAAAACTACGCGTTGGATGCGTCGGTCAAGAACCACACGTCGCATCCGAGGCAGTAAAATCCGACAGTGGTACCCAAACAGAACAATTAGTAGTATTAACTCCGGACAAGTCAGTCAACCACCCAGACGAATCTTTAACCAGTAATGTCAAATATCCCCAGCCATATCACATTAGAGCAGCAAGATAT